TACAGGGTATATACAGGAATCATGGAGTTAAATTTAATAACTTTTAAGACTCTTTCCATACATTTTAAGACCTCATCGCCACTCCAAGTTTTAACCTGTTACATCGGCGACACTTTAACTTACATTTACTATGTATTAAGATAGAGCAACTAAACAGACTTACTTTGTGATAACTCCTTATCAATACAACATTATTCAGAAGTGGGGAACGAAGCACAAGAGAATTAATTTAGTGACTAACCAATGCAACCCAAGAAACAAGAATTAGACCAATAAACAAAACAACTGACAAAACTTATTGAGGAGGGAAAATAAAGCTCTCCGAGCTAACGGGGCAATGAGTTCACACAGTATATTCAAAAGATGTATTTGTCATATCAACTCAAACCATAGCTGTTTTGTGGAACACTTCTCATGACAAACATCTGACTGATCAGACAGTTTACCTGTGATTACGGAGTGCTTGATTTGATGCAGACTTGACAGAGTGTCAGTACTGCACCTGATCGTGTCTGAATGATCATGGAAGCTAAAATAATGATCACAACTATTACATCATTTTAATTGTGCATCCCAAGCCAGTAAAAAAAAAAAAAAAAAAGTCCAAAGTTGCGCAATTACCATGTGCCAAATATAAAAATGTAATTTCCATCCCTAAAATACATATTTTACAGTCACTGATATGCATATTTATCATAAACACAGCTCAAATGCTTCCTACTAGTGTGGCCCAAAACATTTAGGCAGAATTACAGGTAGAATGCAAAATGTTTCAGTACAAGCATTTCAACCAAATGTAATTTATGCAATATTTCAAACCTTTAACCCACTGGGGAAAATCAACCCATGGCAACAGTTTAAAAGCAGCCCAATTTTGTGGGGAAAAAAACCAACAACAACCCTGCATCCAACATGAGCTGCAGAAGTCAGATTTGACTGATCACGGGTCAAAAGTAAGGAGAGATAACTGACAAAAGATGTTGGAGGATTTGCTCCTCAACAGATCCCGAGCTCATTGACAAATATCTTTTATCGTAGGATGTGCTCCCTTTACACAGTGTGCGCGCGATCGCAAAATCGAAAGTGAACTACGACTGCGAGCGCTCATTCAAAGGGGATTTTTTATTTTTGCGCATCAGGGCGCCGCTATCAATATGTGGGGTATTGCCGATACCCCCCACATATGGGGTGAGCGCCGTAACAGATGACGTCAAATCTTGTGGGATTCCATAAATAAAATACACAGAACCCCACTATTCGACAAATATACATAAATTAAAAGATGATACAAAATTTAATACCTTGGAAAATGGCATTTAAGACTTTTTAATGGCCTTAATTTTCTCTAAATTGATTTATCAACTTTTAATACTTTATAAGACCCCATGGACACCCTGTGTTAAAGTGAGCTCTTACCCACTATACATCAGACTGTCCTGGAGAACCTTTCCTGTCGGCATGTCACAGGTAAGCTCACCTAAAAAGACAGAGGGGAAAAAGATGATAAATACCCAGAAATCCCACTTTAACAGGACAGTAACAACGTTTTTAAATGAGGAGAAGGAAAGGAAATATAATAGCTGGCAAGACAAAGTTCTCGCAGGCTTACTGGGGAAATGAGCTGGAACCATGACAAAATCATCAGTGTCACAGGACGAGTTCTTGCTACTGCTGCCGCCGCCACCACCTCCCGAGTCCTTCAGCAGGTATCCTGGAGAATCCTGGGTAGGGGAGGCTAATGCCTTTGCACGGACCTGCTGGATCTCTGCAAGGGATTGCTACAAAACATAAATGAGTTCTGAGAGTTACATAGTCCTGAATCATTAACATCCAGTCCTGCTAAAACTAGGTATCATTTCTGAATGAAAGGTCATAAAAATAGCTTTTTTTACTGTCCTGACAAATACATATGACACAGCAGATATTTACAAAAATATAAATATTACACTACACTTGATGGAATATACTTAAATATCATTTATTGTTCTTCAGCGATAGTAGTGTATGTATTCTTCTTTAGGGAAATTCTAAAAAAAAAATGCTGTTCTTTTGAATGTTCTATTCATCAAAAAATCCTGAAAAATGTATAATGGTTTCCACAAAAATATTATTTAAAATATTAAATAAATATTTTCACAATTTATTTTAAGGTCCAATTGTTGCTTTTAACAAACCATTAACTACGACTTTTGCCTCAATAAACTACTAATTTGCTGCTTATTATTAGTAAGGTAGTTGTTATTTTTACATATTGGGTAGGATTAGGGATGTAGAATATGCTCATGCAGATATGTCATTAATATATCAATATGTTATTAATAGGCATGCTAATAAGCAACTAGTTAAAAGAATTGGTCCCTATACTAAAGTGTTACCAAAGCAGCCTATGTGAGCCTAAGAGATTTTTTAAAAACAACATAAAAAAAATCTTCCCTGGCCCAAAACGTTTGAACAGCAGTGTTAAATTATAAGAATATAAAATTTACATTTTTATGGTCTCTTTAATAAAAAGAAAAATTATATTCATGACCATTTATAGACCTCAAATAACAGAATGTGACAGTATGATTTCTTTGCTTTTAAAGCCCTGACCTCTATACAGCATTCTGATACCATGAGACCCATAAAATACCACAAAATGCAGAGCTGATTAACATGTGGCTCCTATCACGGATTAGTGTTACAAGCCACCATAAAATTTTAAGAAAGTGCATCTTTGTTCGAGAAGGCAGCTGGATGCTGTGCTTATTTATCTTCATGACTGTGACAAACTCCTGACTAGGGTTGGGTATCGTTTGAATTTGATCGATTCCGATTCTCCTTATCGATTCCGATTCTTATCGATTCCTAATTCCGATTCTTATCGATTCCAATAAGATAAAAAATCCATTTAACAAATTTTAAGTCAAATATTTAGATGTCAAACATATTTATGTTATATTCTGTTTTATGTCTATGGTTTTATCAAAAAAATACTACAGTAAAAAACAACTAGACTAATATAAATTTCAAACATTAAATTGATAAAGACAAGTAAACAAATTAATTAGCAATAGCATAAATAATAAAGCTGAACAAATGTCAGGTACAGCAATTGAAATCAAAAGTTTAAAAACGCTGTATAGTTTTCTTTTCATAAATAAAATATTGATTAATCCTCATTAAATTTACGAAAGATATTCAGTCAGTTAATGATTTTCTTTTGTTCTTTGAATAACATTAATGATAGGCAGCACGTTTATTAGACGGCTGTCTCTTTAACACCGAACACACACGGATCTAAAAATACTGTTACACATGTGTTTTCTTTCTCATCTGTTTACGTTCACTTAAGACAAAAAAACGGCTGTGTTTATGATGATATACTGACGTATTTTGTGCATACTGGTCGATGAATGTGAAAGAGAAGTCAGTTCTGGCCCGGAACAACCTTTGTGGAAATGCACGGAACAGTTCGAGAACGGACACAGGTCGGGAACCTGCATCGGGACCACTGTTCCCTGTGCTCGCGCTTCAGATGTGTGCGCTGCACGCAAACAGTGTGCAAGTTCTTTCCCTTCCTGCACTTAAATAGTTTAAAATCACATTAAAATGTGAACGCGGGTATCGTTAAGCGGAATCGAAATGCACATGTCTTATCGAATACCCGATTATTGGAAATTTGGAACCGGTTCTCGATACCCAACCCTACTCCTGACACTCCAACATTTATTAGTGCAGCTGACACAATGAACCACCACTGAACACGGACATGAACACACATACACTTACAGGAGGAGAGGCCAGGTGTGAAGTAGATGAACTGCTGCATGAGCTTGCAGAGGCTGAATTGGGAAAGCAAGTCACGGTCACTGGAGCAGCTGTGAAGAACACAGACATACATTTCCAGAAATACAATGACAATCATATAAAGTCATATTTTTGCCATCTAATTAGTTTATATTCAAATCACTGGAACGTATTTTAATTAAATGAGTTAAATAATATTTAGCTGTATCCTGCATTTTGTAACCTAATAAATAAATAAACACCCAAAACACCATTTGGACCCTTTTTACAGCATGGTGGGAAGACAAGCAAGTGATCTCATTTTATTTTGTCACATTATAACCATGTTATAACATACTGTAAGAAAAAATAATTCAACAATATTTTTGTTTATTTAATGTGAAATGTTTTTATGGATAACTACAAGCCAACATTTAGTCCCAATTTTGTTGCCCCCTACTGACTTTACCATATTAACATTCTGGTGTTGCAATTATTCCAATTAATTATGCTGTAATAGTTATAATTTTTTTTATATATATATATATATATATTGATTATATTTCTTCATTTACAAAGAATAGAAAAAAGTCAGATGAATTTAAATGTTTATTTAATATTAATAGAATCATAGAATAGAATCATGGTATTAAACCACATTTTTGTAGTAAGGATGCAAACTCGATAAAAAATAAAACAGCCTAAATAATATTTAATTTAACAATAAACATTTTCGAAAGATTAAGCATTACTGACCATTTAAAATGGTAAAAACAGAGTAAAAACACAGTTTAAAATGGCAGTGCAATAACTCACATTTCTTCATAGAGGAGCTTGCCTCCAAGAAAGGGTGTCTGAAGAATTCATCTATAAAAACACAAATATTTCAGCTTAAGAAGTTTGCATGATTGACAAAACTAAACTTATAAATAACAAACATTGCCTCATCATCTAGTGGGCACAGACACTCAGGATACTGACCAAAGTCCATACGGTCCTTATGGTTCCTCTGCAGGAGGCCAAGCAGCAGGTGTCTGAGATGGCTGGAAGTTTCTCTGGGAATGCTGTAGAGAGAGAAGGGGAAAGAGAGGGATTTTTTTACACATGCTTTAGCAGAATCTGTGCTCCAAAACTAATCTGAAAAGTGTCATTAACTATCAGAGTCAATAAGAAATGGACATACTTTGGGCTAAGAGTTTTATTTTTCTCATAAAACAATCGGAGGTCCTGGGGACTGCTGGCCTGATGGATGGACAACATTGCAAAAAAAGTACTTTTTATATTATTGCTTTCTTATTACATTTGTATTTTCCTAATGCCATAATATCTCAGACTTGAAAGTGACATCTATATAATTAACTATAATTAGAATGGTACGTACCTGAAATGGAGCTTTCCCAGTCAGGCACTGAAACACAATGGTCCCTATACTCCACAGGTCAGCCTTGGCATCATAGTTCTGTGACATAATAACCTCAGGTGCCTGGCGAATAGCATTTCAGAGTTACAATAAATGAGATATAATGAGAATAATCACAATGATGCACATGTATATGAAAGGCTTGAAAAGGAAATGTAAAAATTTGTACCATGTACATGGGGGACCCGCAGAGTGTGGCGGCCATCATGTTGTTCTGGAGGTACCGTGCGAAGCCAAAGTCAGCTGAGGAGACCAAAATAAGATCTTACAAACTGTGCTGGTGAAGCAGTGCACTCTGGGCAATGGCAAACCAGGTTTAGATAAAAGAGAACACTGTTAAATTATTGACTAGACTTGGTTTACAAAGAGTGGCTTTTTAAGTCAATATACTGTTTTATTTATATTTTCATATCATTGAACATAATTTTATCACTAGCCTAAAGCCATTTAATTTGTAGTTTGTCAATCTATCGGAGGCAGACTTAGAGGCCACTTAAAGTGAAATCATTAAGCAGAACACAAGCAAAATATTAAAAAGAAGGCTTGATTTGCAAAAGCCAGACCTGCTTAAGCATATGGACATGGTATCTAGAGTTTCTAATGCTTTGAAAGCTGAGAATGTAAAAACGATAAACTAGAAGCAAAAACACTGGCACTGGCACACACACCTATCTTGATGCAGGTGTTGTTGGAGTGAGACTTTCGGCCTGCAGGATGGGACAACAGGATGTTCTGGGGTTTCAGGTCTCTGTGGATGATGCCTTTGGCCTGAAGGACCCTCATGGCCCCCGCGATCTGCTGCAGGAATACTCGGATGGTGTCTTCACTTAAAGTGCCCTTAGCTAAAAGAGCATGATTGTAAAGATGAATTCATTGGGGCTGGGCAATATACAGCTACTGACTGTTTAAGATATATTAATAAGATTTTGCTGGAGATATAAACCAAAGCAGCATTATTACTATTAACATAAATTTAAAATAGTTAAATGTATACCGTTCAAATGTTTGATTTGATTTTTTTTATGCTTAAGTTTCTTATGCTTAAAAAATACAGTAAAATCACAGTGAAATATTACAATTTAAAATAACTTTTCTATTGAATATATTTTAAAAAGTAATTTATTTCTGTACTAGCTAAGCTAAATTTTCAGCATCAAATACTCCGGTCTTCAGTGTCATGTGATCCTTCAGAAATCATTATGCTGATTTAATGCTCAAGAAACATTTCTTATTATTATCAAATGCTGAACACAGTTGTGCTGCTTAATATTTTGGGGGAAACTGATACATTTTTCTCTATTCATGGTATGAACAGACAGTTCAAAAGAAAAGAATTCGTTTGAAATAAAGACATTTTTGTAACATTTTAAAATGTCTTTACTGTCACTTTTGATTAATTTAATTTGATGCAGCCTTGCTGAATAAAAGTATTAATTTCTTTTCAAATACATCTAGCCTAACTGACCCCAAACTTTTCAATGGTAGTGCATCTTGACATTTAACTAGATTGTTAATGAATTTGTCTTCTCATTCAAAAAATGCATCACCATTTCAGATCAAATTCCTAAACAGCATACCATCAAAAACGAAAAAATATTGAGATAATGTTTTCTATTATATCATCTGGCCTTGACTCAACACTGTTTATATTATACAGTATGTGTAACAACTTGTAACCAGTTACAGATTTTACAGGCAAATCAAATGCAAATTCAACCTGCAATCCTTTCATAGTGCAATGCATATCAACTGTCTATAAATTCAAATACTACACATTGCGTATAAAAGCAAAGGAATATGCTGTAGAGATTCGCCTATTTTTATTTTTCTCATGTCAAGATTCCATAAGAAAATAGTTGTGTCTGGATTTTTCAGAGCAACTGCTTCCTCTGAAAACAAGCTCACACCCTACAGTCAACAGTTGCAGCTTCCTCAGATCCGCTTTAAACAAAACATACATACACAAACACACACCCTAAACCCTTCTGGCCTAACTTCCTGAGTTTGGTTTTGCATGCTTTTGAACTAAACTGATATCACTTTTTCCATCACGCAAGCAAAATAAGCAAAAAACTGTAGCAATTAAAGTTAAGATGAACATCCCTACTTTATCAAAGCAGAATTTACTCCAATCAAATTCAAATGATGTATTATTAAGAGTGAACACAATTTAATAAAGGAGGCTGGTGTGTTGAGCATCTACAGAACAAAAAAAAATCCCAAAATGAGGTCAGAGCATGATAAATGAATTGTCCCACTTACAGTGCAAGTAGTCAGCCAGATCTCCCCCATTGCAGTACTGCAGTTAAAGAAAGAACATTGATCTTTTTATTATGAATAAGAGCACCACACATTGTTGAATGACAAAACCTGCATCTGAATGGGGCTTAGTTCACTTCACAGAGAGAGACAATTCAGATGCATATTAAAACTAGTCACTCAGAAAAGATGGGCTGTTATTTTCCTTTGTGCACCACTGATGGGCTTCCCAGTGGCCCCATTGCCTTTCCATTGAGCTTTTCTGAAAACTGACTTGGTGGCGAGGCATCTACAGGAAGTTGGTCTCATAGAAATTGGAAACATTTTACAAATCCTCACCGTGTCACACAAAACAACCTGATTCCAAGTCTGTTTCTGTCTAAAGGTCTTGTTATTAACAACTGCAGCTGTCTTCCATTGGCCCCAGGGCATGGCTAATTGCAGGCATTACCAGGTACAGAACAGACAAGATCAACAACAAAAGACACTGAGAAAACAAGCCCACTTACCTCCATCACTAGATACACAGAGCTTGCCGTTTCCTAGAAAGAAAGAAAAAAACACAGGAGTAGAGTCAACAGACAGGTGGCCAGGACAGTAAATTAATTCATGTTCTTTAATATATATTCAAAGGATCTGCGCATAACATATCATGTCGAGATTTGTGTGGGAACATGTTTACAGAGGACATTGGAACCAGTGTTAACAGCTCATTTGTGCGCATTGTAAATGCATTTGGCTGACACTAGTCCACATATGGCGTGAGTGTGTTTTCTCTGCACTGGGTCATAATGGGCTAATAAAGGCCAGGGGGAGGGCAAAGGTCACAGGCTTTGTTAGCACTGTACGTTTTCAAAGTTCAATGTGCAAACTGTGTGGTGGTGCGACAGATTTCTATTCAAGGCAGCCACAGCGCACACCACTGAACCTCACTCAGACACAAGAGAGTATAGATACTGCTGATAATATGAAATGTGAGTGGTGTTAATCACGATGCTTGGGTGTTGTGGGTGATTTCCAGGGCGTTACTTTGCAGTTGCTCTGGTTTGAGTGAATTTAGTGCATGCTGTGTGGTTATCACAAATTACCTGCCAAAATTGTACATTGAGCTGAGTAGAGGTTAACCAATACAAACATTTTGGCTTATTTTACATTTACATTTAGCAGACGCTTTTGTCCAAAGCAACTTACAAATGAGGACAATGGAAACAATCAAAATCGAACATTTTATTGTCATATAATGGCAAACTCTAGCAAAATTACAGATTGAAGTTTTTTTTAATAAGATAATAATAAAAAAGTTTTTTTTACAGTAGTAAACTTTTAGTACTATAATAGTTTTAACAAATTAATGTAATTCTCTCAACTTTAGTCATCACAATATTATAATGTACAGTATGAAAATTTTATATTCATTTTGAGATTTGCTCTCTTTAAGATTTCATGTATGCATCATGAAATCATTCGAAAGATCAGATTACCTAGACTGAGTGATATTGACTGATCTGAATGTAAAAAAAAATAAGCACACACAATTTTATTTATATATTTAATTAATTCTATATTTGTAGCAATAGCCAAAAATACATTGTATGGGTTAAAATGATCAATTTTTCTTTTATGCCAAAAATCATTAGAATATTAAGTAAAGATCATATTCCATGAAGATATTTTGTAAATTTCCTACCATAAATATATCAAAACTTAATTTTTGATTAGTAATATGCATTGCTAAGGACTTCATTTGGACAACTTTAAAAGCTGATTTTCTCAATATTTCATTTTTTTTGCACCCTCAGATTCCAGATTTTCAAATAGTTGTATCTCAGTCAAATATTGTCCTATCCTAACAAACCATACATCAACGGAAAGCTTATTTATTCAGCTTTCAGATTAACAGCTTTCATAAAACTGACCCTTATGACTGGTTTTGTGGTCCAGGGTCACATATGTGCTCATTTACATTTATTTATATAATATCAACAAATACCAATAACTTCTTAAAATCAATAATCATATAATAACAATGCAACAATATATATAAAAGAACATAATAATATTTTAAAAATTCTTAAATATAAAAATCTTTCTTCTGCATAACACATTTCAGGTGACTATTGTCTTTGATTGAGACAAAAATCACTGAGACATTTTTCAAAATATCTTTTTTTCCACAGAAGAAAGAGAGCCATACAGACTTGGAGCGAATAAATGATAACAATTTTCATTTTTTGGGTGAACTATCCCTTTAAGTATCATGCAATACAAATCAACCAATAAAAATGCTTTTGAACTTGTTGATCCTTAAACAGACAACTACAAAGCAGCAATGTTAGTCTATAGGCTTTAGGGAAATAATGAACGTATACTTTATAAACACACACTAGCTATTAGAACAGAACTGTCTTCAGTACATATGAACTGACTGAATAAACAAAACAAATGCATGACAGGCTTCTCCGAAGTGGCCAAAGCACTAAATATTCAACTATCCAAACAATCACTATATCAATCCTACAGCACAGGTTGCATTTGCTATCAAGTCAGCTTTTATGGCACCATAATCCTATTTCCCGAGCCCATGGCCGAGGCCTCTCGAAAAAATACAGAGTAGCCCACTTAGAACGACCTTATCACTTAGCAACAGATGACCACCCCCCTTGCGGTGTCCACCTCAACCAATCAGCCGAATCGGCTGATCCGTGACTGGCATATGCTGCTGACTCAGCGTTGCCGAAGTTTTACTTTCTGCCACTGAAGATAGACTCTAACCAACTTTGCAGTGGCAGCCAGACTGAAACTAAGCCAAACATCGCTGTTTAATGACAACTAGCGCTTGAACGAGCTTGGCCATTCAGTTGGGAAAATCCAACAGGCCCAACATCACTCAAAGACAGTTTGGCGCCTACATAATTGATGTTCATGAGGGTGATAAAGTGAGCTTTGCTTATGAACACAGCAGACCCGTGAGATCTGCTAATGTTTACCACAGGCGCAGTGGAGACCCTACTAAACTGGTTATGGAGAGGACTTTTTGTTATTTTTACATGATTACTTTATTGCTCATCCCACTTCAAACACAACCCTTATATTTTAAACTTTATATAGTTGACCTAAACTGTTACTGAACCTGCGGAGAACCTATTTTTACACAGTTATATGTACATTTAAAAAAATAAATGTTCCACAAGGGGATTTTTACAGCGATGCCATTGAAGAACCATTTTTGGTTCCCTAAATAACCTTTGAGTGAACAGTTCTTAAAAGAACCAGTTTTTTTGTTCAATGGGAAGTTTCCATGGATGTTAAAGTTTCTTCATGAAACCATTACTTTTATTTTTAAAAGTGGTTATGAACCTGATTCACTAAAAATAAGCTCTGCTCAAAAACTTGTTTCTGTGTTTGCAAGGAAAAGATGACCAGATTAACTCTTGCAAGGTTCATCCTGCACAAACAAGCACAAGTTTGTCACATGTGGCAAGGAGCCAAGCAGCTCACAGACTCTTCCCTCCAGGGTAGAGCAAGAACTACTCTAACTTTAATGGCATTCAATTCACAGACAGCCAACACCACATCAGAAAGTGGTGTGACTATCCAGGAGATGTGAGAAGAGGTCAGATCAGAGAAGCATGTGGCAGAAATGTGCCGAGACACTTGAGCTGTACCTTTTGAAAGCAACACCAGAGTGTGAGCCTTTTTTCACCAAATTGTCATGAATGAAGTGGAGACAAAAGCAACATCAAACCTCAGTATAAACTGTAAATGATAACTAAAAAAAAAAGTACAACGGTACTACGTAAACTGCATGTATATGGTAATCTTTCAGTAACATGGTATATATCAAGATAAAATGGTGTTTAACACGTCACATGACAGCACAGTAGTTTTGATCGACAGGGATTTTCAATGACTGATGCTGATATCTAGACAACATCATTTAAATGGATAGTTCACCCAAAATTTTTTATTTTACTCATGTCGTTTCAAACCCATAAAACTAATTTTATAAAATAAAAAAATAAAAAATTCAATTTGCATTTTAAAGACTAACCAATGTCTCTTATGGGTTTTGAACAAAATGAGGATCAGTAAATGATTTGATAGTATTTTAATTTCATACTAACCCTAAACAATTAAACAAAAATATAGGCAAGTTTTTTGGTTTTTTAATAAAAACTTTAGCTTATTAATAATAATGACATTTTATTATTTTTATTTTATTGTAATGATTTAAAAATGTATTGACTAATCATTTTATAAATTATTTATTCATCTTTTTTATCCTATTTTTAATAACATGGGGATTAACTATAGTCCATCAAATTATTATGGTTATAATTCCAGAAGTGAGTAACAAACATTGAATTAAAGGAGACAAATCAAATAATTTACAACTGGTTAGAACTTAGAAGTCCAAGTTGCATGTCTTTTGTACTCCCACTGGCTTTAACTTACACCAATAAAACATGCCTAAAACATTAACCTCAAGATGACCCCAGGGCAGAGCAAATACAGAGAACCCAGGTGTTTGAAAAACGTGTTAACACTTCAATGAAACCACTTCACCAGTCTGGCTACACAGGTTTCACTTGCACCGTTGTAAGAAAGGCTTTTACTAAGTGCCAATGAACCCTGAATGCTGAATCGAGTGAGTAAACAATTTCTCTTTCTGGTATTTAAAAAAAAGTGTGAGCATCTTTTACTGCATATTTTTTTGCGTTCTCAGCATTACACAATAGAAACATTGCCATCTTTATGTCTATATAATAAGATGTAAATGTGTAACCAAGACTCCAATACCCACAATGCCCTGCAGCAGAGTCATTAAAAACAAGTGCACATGTCATGTCAATAGAAGAACATGTGACTGTTTTTAACCAATCAATGCAAAGGAAGTCATGATACAGCCTTGGGGATGGTAAAACATACATTTGAACCCTCTTTAGCCCATTATAACAAGTAAAATATTTGTACTTAATAGTATTTGAAGAAGTAAAGTTGTAACAAAACCACTTTCTCTAGACGATTGCATTAAAAACCATCCATCCAAACATCTGCAGAGTAATGCAACCTACCTGGAAGTCATGCAATGCAACAATGTTCTCATGTTTCAGTTCCTAAAGAAAACAAATAAGAATTAATTTGCACACAAATGCTTTATTATTATGTAATGGAAATGCAGTGTATTGCCAGTCAATACAACCAGAACGTACCTTCAATATCTTGATCTCTTTCCCCAGAAGAGTCTGTGATTTGGCCAGATTCTTCTTGTTTATGCATTTGACGGCAACTTCCCAATCATGCTTCTGAAAAGTTCAATGATTTTAGCTGTTGACCATAATCACCTTGCAGTCTACATTGTATTAAACATATTTGACCATAGACACAGATCTATTGTTTTACAGTCTCTGATTAACTGTCGTCTCTAAAGACGAAAATGACACATTAAAAGCTTGAAAATGTATTAGATGTAATGGGTTTAATGCGTATCTCTCTATAATACTGGACATTTAATCTCTTATTCTAGCCTCCATCTGTTGTGCTCGAGGCCTTTAAGGTGGTATGTCAGATCTGCAACCAGTATGAAAACAGAAACCAAATTCTTATCAATATACAATCACACCTCTACATGCAGACGAAAAAGATGCAATAGATATTTTCTCACCTCTCGATGCCTGCCTTTGAATACCACAGCGAAGGCACCGTGTCCTATAAGGTCCTTCCTGCTGAACTCGAATTTCCCGACAGTCTCCATCTCCCACCTGATCCCAAATATTGCAGCTTGACTATTTGTGTGAAATAAAGCTGGCCCACAAATATCCTCTTTCTGCTTCCCTCTTCTCCTCAGTCTGGACGAGGCTGCTGGAAAGTTGAACCCCACTTCTGCGTGCCATGGGCAGCCTTTCCATACAAATACCCCTCTCCTCTTTCATGATATCCTGGAGGTGAAGAGGAGATCTACTCCTTTTAATTATGACAGTTCCCCATGTCGGCAAACCGCTTGTCGTGATTGGTAAATAAATCAAATCGAGCTACGCTAAAAAAATACCACCTCAAAACGCTAGCGATGGGTTTGTTTGTGTACACCCGATGTTGTCAGCTCTGCTAATATCCTCGCGTTCGTGTTCGGAGTTACGTCAGGCTCGCAGAGTCGCGATTGCATATAACACGGTTGTCTTTTCACCAAATATCCCTGAGATATCTGAGAAGCTCGAGCAAGATCGGTCTATTTGGTCTTAACAAAGACCTCAATTTAGTCGAGGTCTGCAGCGCTGCGCATGCGCGCTACTATTTCACCCAGGATCGGCGTTGACGTCAAGGAAGCGCTGTCACGTTTGCGTCACTGTAACACAAAAATAAACGAAAAGCAAACGAACTTGAATTCAAGTAACATGAAGTAATGAGATGGAAATATTTTTGTATATATATATATATATTAATATCAATAAGTAGACTGCAAGAGAGTCGGGTTATGTCAGTCGGCATTACACTGCATTCACTTTAACAGTAAATCATCGATTAATGTAACTTTACCAGTTTTAATATTTTTCCTGGAAAAAACCCTCAACTTGACTAACATTGTAACAAGTGTTCTTACAGAAAGACAGCAAAACTATATCGTGACAACAGCAGAACTAACGTTACAAAGAAAACAAGCGAATAGCATTGAACGCGTGTTTATAACATTAGTCTATAATTACTTCAAAAATTCATTCGAAGCTTCCGAAATATTTTAGCCACCTTTTCGAAGTGCATCTAGGTATTCTGTAGAATAGAGTACTTCAGGTGCTATCCTGTGGAGTAGTTTGGAATAGCAAAATTATTGGCCAGACTGAGCTCAGTTGTTTGAATTGTCAAAATAACCAACAAATAAAAACACAATAGTGTAGACAGGCAGCAAAGGAAAAAGATGGGGGTGGGGGTGCGGGTGGGAGCAATAGCTATTGCTACTTTATTTAGATGTTAGACTTTTTAGTGTAGAGTTTTGGAGACAACGTTATTTAAAACATTTAGGCCTACTTTTAAAACACTCTACACTCAGGCCTACTTTTATTCATATATATACGCTGTGATCTTGACTAGGCCTGTCGCAATAATCAATATATCGAGTTATCACGCAATATATGTACATGACCTCAAAAATTTTTGGTGACGCAATATATCGCCCATTATATTTACTTAAAAAATTAATGCCAATTTGCAAATATTTCCACATAGTGAGGTAGATATGTGAACGAGCCGTTTTAGGGGGGTGTGGCAGAGTCTTAACTTTGATAAAGAATATCTCTTTGGTTTTGAGACTTTAGTCTTTGCAACTTCAGGGATCTTATCTATTCACAATCAGCTTGTAACACTCCAAAGAGAAAGGAAAACTTGAAATCGCATCATATGACCCCTTTAATATAGAAAACCATTATCTTAAATTGTAATAGTATTTAAATGTTACTGTTTTGCTTTATATCAAATAAATGCAGCCTTGGTGAGCATAATAAACGGTGAGCATAATAAACGGATTTCAATTGGATTTACAGAAAAATCGGCTGACAGTTTGAATGAGGCTTAAGAAAAAATATTTTTAAAAATCTTACCAACCAACCCCAAATATTTGAACAGTAGTGTATATTAGTACACTGTAGTAATGCCATTCTATAAATATGACTTTTCGTAATCTTACGAGAACTGATAGGCCTATTACTTGATAACTTGATAACACACTTCAATCAATATCTAATTCGGCATCCAATTCAACCACTAGAGGGTAATGCAGGCTTGCAGAAAACTCAGAGCCTTGGGGACAACAGCATCTTCAATGCACAAGCTTAGCAGCTGGAATTGGTCTGGAAGCGAGTCATTTGGAAGATCCAGCTGAGAGCATTTAGCATCCTGCATTGTGACCCATTTCAACAAGGTTACTTAAAACTCTTTCATGTTTTGCATCTGATATGCTTGGCTCTTGCCCTTAATGGAGTGGAAAGGCAAGTGCTGGCAGTACACCATGATGGTGAAAGCCATCAAATTGCTTTTATGCTGGTTCCTTTCACTCTTGTTGCTCCTGATCTCAACAACAGCCCTGTTTGTCCACATTTAGGGATCCAGTCCGGTACATTTTTTGTACTCAAAGGTCTTTCATGATCACTCACTTTGCATTAAAAGGGCTTCAGCTGAACAAGATGGAAAATTACATTTGGAGATAAATTCATGTTATGGATGCCAGAGCTCTCCTGTGTCAATGAGGCCAGCAGGCAGAGCTGTAGGAAAGTAATGTCACAGATGTACGGTGGAGATCAAAGTGCTGCTGCTCCTTGAAAGACCTGTGAGCGGTAAATCCATAGTGTTCACATGAGTCACCTGTCAGCTTATCAAGTGGAACTGCGGAGAAGCTTAACTCATGACAAACAAACCATCACTCACACAACCACTGAGCTGAACTACTCCTCATACGTGTAAGAGCCAAAAGGTTATCAGAAACTGTCAGTTGGGGACTGAGACATGCAGGTGGGTGACTCTTCATGACTGCCTGCTTAAATTGTCTATCACCAATACCAGCACAGACCTCGAATTTTGTGTGCACTTGGCTTGCCGTATACAGTGGCTTCGTGAATTGCAACGGCCCAAAAGGGAATGGATTGGTTCTGCCTAAACCATCTGGTGAATTCCCCTGCTGTGGCTCAGTCCAAAACCCTATACAGCACCAGTGAGGAACGAGCGGCACTCTTACTGCTCATAATTGTCATACAATGTGTTCAAAACACCCGGAGTCTATGCCTATACAACCACTGGAGGAATGAGTAAGAGGGGGCTGGTGCTGCTTTGGCAGAGAGATTTGTATTTTATTGTGTAAATTTGATGCATTTGATGATGAGACAAGCTTTGACATCAGGGTTGCGCGCCATTCAGAACTGAATTAGAAATGCCTTTTAAATTGAACTAAAGCAGAATTAAAATGAATTGAAATGGAAAAAAAACAAACATTTTTCATAGATGGATGGATGGATAGATATAGATAGACAGATAGAAACACCTCTGATAGATACACTGCAAAAAATGATTTTCTTCCTTTTGTCTTTTTTTATAGTATAAATATCTAAAAATTCTTGAATCAGGATGCATTTACTTGACAAGTAAAATGACAAGATATTTTGTCTCGTTTTCTGAAAATATTATCCAAATTTTGTTTGTTTTTGCCTAAAACAGGCAAAAATAACTGCCAATGGAGTAAAAAAAATAATCTTAATGCAAAGGCTAAACAAGATTATTTTTCTTACCCCATTGGCAGATATTTTTTTTACTCGTTTTAAGCAAAATCTAACAAAAAATTTTTTATATAATATTTTCAGAAAACAAGACATAATATCTTAAGTCATTTTACTTGTCAAGTAAATGCATCCTTATTCAAGAATTTTTAGATATTTATATTAGAAAACGACAAAAATACTAAGGAAGAAAATCATTTTTTGCAGTGTAGATACCCTATCTTAAAGCGATATTTTTTTTTCTCATACTTTATAGGCAAGTTTATTTGTATAGCACATTTCATACACAATGGTAATTCAAAGTGCTTTACATAAAATAAAATAAAAACAATAATCACAACAATAAAACAAGGAATTTAAAATTATTTAAAAAAAAATTGATTTAAGAGGTTTAAAATGAATTTAAGAGACGATTATACATATAATATAGTGCAATCAGTTCGGACATCGCACAGTGCTCATTCAATAAATGCACAGCTAAACAGATGAGTTTTGAGTCTGCATTTAAATGTGACTAATGTTTTAGCACATCTGATCTCTTCTGGAAGCTGATTCCAACCGCGGGTGGCATAATAACTAAAAGCACATTCCCCTTGTTTTGTGTGAACCCTCGGTATTTCTAACTGACTCGATCCTAATGATCTGAGTGGTCTGTTAGGTTTATATTCAGTGAGCATATCTGCTATATATTTAGGTCCTAGGCCATTGAGCGATTTATAAGCTGATTTCTGTCTGCCAGTCTTCCTGCTGACTTTCAAAGGAGCAATGTCATCAATAACATTCTTAACTTTTGAGTTAAAGGAATCAAGAAGATCAACAGAGTCTGCAAAAATGCTTGGTGTTAAAGACATCGCCTCCATAAATAGCACACTAGTGTTCTCGTTAATGCATCTCTTTCTGACAGAGACAGATCTAGATTCAGTGGTTGCAGAGATCAATATATCAAAGAAAATACAGAAGTGATCAGATAGTGCTACGTCCTTAATAACAATGGATGAAATGTTTAGACCTCTACTGATGAGTAAATCTAGAGTATGTCCCCGATTGTGTGTGGGTTCATGCACATGCTGAATCAGGTCAAAAGTATTTAAAACAGTTATAATTTCTTTTGTAGTTTTGTTTTCTGCATTATCTATGTGAATATTAAAATCCCCTGCAATAGCAAAACAGTCAAACTCTGAGGAAATCATTGATAGCATTTCTATGAACTCTTCAACAAAGGCTGGAGAGTATTTTGGAGGCCTGTAAATAATGATAAACAGAATGCGTTGAGCACCTTTCAACACAATCCCTAGAAGTTATACATTAACTTTTGTGTAAAACACCTTATTTCTTAGAATGCATTATCAATGCTGAATTTCTTTTAATTGCAGCTCAGTAAATTTGTGTAGAGTGTCCAATTCAATTCCAATTCACACTCAAAAACTGAAAAGGAGCCCGTTTTTCTCCATTTTGAATTTTGTCCAACCCTGGTCGACATGATAAATCAGCTAAACCATATGGATTTGCTATAGGACTACATCCGCCCAGTTGATTCCGCTCAAGCACGGGTGTAGAATCAGCCTGACCGTGGTTTTACCTTCAAAGAAAGCGGTAAAGCCAAACCTATTGAAATTTCAGGCAGTACTTCACAGGATCCCTGAACAATGTCCGTGGGCTGAATAAATGTAGTTTCAGTCACTGGAACATGACCACTCTGCTTACCTACGGGCACTGACGGTCTCCAGGCAGCCGGGTAATTAGCAGCACTGGAACCTTTGATGAAACATTTTACGCTCAAAGTATTTTGGTTATCGCCACCGGAAGGTAACTGACACATCATTCGAAGTCATTGGTTTTGCTCTCAGCACTTTTTAAAACATCATTGTATCGGCACCCACACACACGCGCACACACTCAGACACACGCAAACAACCTCTACAGCTTTTCCCATACATGGCGCGAAGTGGGCTCGTTGCCAAGGCGATGGTTAGTTTTCATACCCATTGTGAAATGTATATGCGTTGTCCTTGATTTACAGTAAGACAGGCACAAAATAA